TGGGGCTGATGGCTGTTTGCCTTGTGTTGTTTTAGAGAATCCAGGTGCCATTCTCCAGGGAGTCAAATAGTACTGGCTCTCTCTGGGAGAGTTGTAGGAATGCTTCTTCAAACTGCCTACAGCTAATTTCACTATGGAATTAACCTACCACTTTATCCTCCTGTGGCTTCCCTCTTAGGGGTGTGCCCCAGAAGGCTGGTAGGTTGCCTGTTTTGGTGTTGTGGAGGTTGGGCAGAGGTTCCTGCAGCAGCTTGGAATATTGATGAGTGTTGGCTGAGCTGCTTTAGGCCCTCAGGCACACAGGCAGGAATTCCTTGGTAAGAAGTTGAGTGGAGTATCCCCGGTGGAGGTCAGCAGGGCTTTCTCCAGCCTTGGGCTAACTGCACAGGGTGGAGCTAACCAAGCTGGGTGTGGTGCAGATGTAAATGCCCTAGGCTAAGGGGAGTGGTCTGGAGGTCAGCAGTGGAGTTTGAGAGAACAGGAAAGAGACAAAGAGGAGAAAAAAATTAAAAAGTAAGCCTGCTGAGAGTGTGAGTTGATATAGAAAAGAGAGGGAAACAAAAGTAACAATGTAGCAGAGCCCCGATCCCTGCCCGTGGAGCTGCAAGGGTTTAATCCCTGCCTCCAAGCGGCATCAGCAAGCTGTGGCTGTGTTGAGGAAAAGCCCCTGCTCAGCCCTCCGAGACTGTGAGGGGGTAGAGAGGAGAGGGAAACAAAAGTAACAATGTAGCTGAACCCTGATCCCTGCCCCTGGGGGCTGCAAGGGTTTAGTCCCTGCTCCGAGGCAGCAGCAAGCTGTGGCTGTTGAGATTAAACCCCTGGCTCTGGCAGAGACAGTGGTGGGGCTAAGGTCAAGCCATAGCCAGCCTCCATTGTAGTAAGGCAAAAGCCTCCAGCCCCTCAAAACCTGTGGGTCTGTGCCTACTTATCTTTACGATGCTCCTTCTGTGGTCCAGCAGTGTTGAATTTCCCTCTAAGCAACTCTCCTGGGCTGAATTCTTCAGAGTCCCTCTGGTACCTGTTACTCTGTTGCCATCTTCCTAGAAGTCCCCGATTCCCACTCCTTTTGATCCACTGAGTTACAACCTCTAGGTGGGCAAAGGCCCAGGATCCTGCCCTGCATTTAGTTACCCCAGTTGGGGTAAGGGGCCCCCTCAGTTAGAAACTGAGGCTCTGAGTTGGTGCTCAGCAAACCTCTGTGAGTCCAGTGATTGAAGCAATGAATGCAGGCATGGGTGGCTTCCTGTTTGAGGTCTGCTGTTTGGCTATAGTTCTTTTCAGAGTCCCTATTTCTTGTGTCCCCTCAGCAGTCTGTGTCTCCCTTGGAATCTCTCCATTTCATGCAGGCCATCTAATTTGTTGCTGTGCCATTGTTCCTGTTGTTGTTGGTGCCGTCTGGTCTGTTCCTACTAATCGCGGCCCTCTGTACAACGGGACGAAACACGGCCTAGTCCTGCACCATCCTCACAACCGCTCTTTTTCTCTTTTACTTTTTAAATTTATTATGAATTGGAAGTTAATACATATGTCATTCCACAGTTCAATCACATCAAGCAGAATTGTACCACTGCTACCACAGTCGGTTTCCAAGCACTCGTTCTCTTTGTGGCTTCCTTGACATTGTCTCCCTTTTACCCCTCGGAAGAACTTGTTCTTACGTTGGAGCCTATTGTGGCAGCCTCGGTGTCCGGTTATCTCACTGAGGGTTTCCTCTTTTTTGCTGCCCCTCCACCTTACCCAGCATGATGTCCTTCTCCAGGGACTGGTCTCTCCTTCTAAGAGTCAACGTTTTGCCATCCTCGCCTCTAAGGATCATTCTGGCTGTACTTTTTCCAAGACGGATGTGTTTATTCTTTTGGCAGTCCATGGTAGGTTGAATATTCTTTCTCAGCACCATAGTTGAAGGCATCGATTTTTCTTCTGCTTCCTTATTCACTGTCCAACTTAAAAAAAAATTAAATGGTTTTATGAGCACTTCACCCACCTGCCATACAATTCACTAATCTAACTGTATCGAGTAGAGTTGTACAATTATCACCACATTCCGTTCTAGAACATATTGTTCTTCCTTGTCCACATGGTTTTAAAGTCTTTTTTTTCCAATTGTGGTAAAAATATACACAACAAAACATTCTCTAATTCCACAACTTCTACATGTACTGTCCGGCACCATTGATTATACTCTTCATGTTGTACAGCGTTAAAGTCCAACTTTCTCATGCACATGAGGCAATGGAAAATACCATTTCTTGGTCAGGCTCACCTTAGTCCTCCAAGTAACATCCTTGCTTTTCAACATTCTAAATCCTTATAATGCTTTTAATTTTTCTAGGGTTGGTAGTGTTTCCTCTTTCATTTCTGAGAGGTGTGCTTTTTTGCATCTAAACTGGTTCCCTATTATCTTCTTGTCTAACCAGGTGTGGTTGCATCTTTTAGGAGATTGGATATCCATCTCTAAAGGCAATTTCAGCATCCCAGAATCCTCCTTAAGCCTCTGAAATATTTTCTACCTACTCTTGGGGTCTGAGAGTTCTCCCCTTAATGACTTTCATTCTCACCAGCCAAGACAGGCAGTGTGCCAACAGACCTGGAGTAAAATTCAAAGTAAATGGCAAGTGACTGATAATTGTTATCTTTGTAAGAGTAACTGGAAGAAGCAGATTTAGAGTCAGAGCCTCACCCTCATCACTCTGGCATGGTGGGTGGCTACTGAGACACCGGAACAGTGAAACTTAGTCTCGGAAAAGGAGGCAAACAGAGGCCAGGGTGCCAAATTTAAAGAGGTATGCATTCTCAGGCTGAGGGAGTGTAAGTGAGAGTGAGTTCCCCTTTAAATTTTGTGCCCTGGGCAACACTCCTCCCCCCCCCCCAATACACACACACTCCAATCTTGTGTGTGATTGAGTTGAACTTCCCCACAGGGATTTTTTTTTTAGGGTGTAATCATTAAGGAAGTAGATCATCAGTATTTTCTCCACAGAACTGCTGGTGGGTTTAAGGGATGACCCTTTAATCAGCCAAGCACTCAGCCATTGTACCCTCAGGTACCCCCAGTCTTAACCCAGTAGAACCTCAGCTCGCAATGCAGCTTGAAAACCTTGGCTCAAATTTAAGCCTATAATCTTAGGACTCTGTGTGTGTGGTTGTTTCTTTCAAGTGTATGAGAGTGCAGCAAATCACCTTTAATTTTTTTTTAACTAAGACAAATTTATTAAGACATACAGAAAAGGTAGAGGGAATAAAAGGAACTCCCACATACCCATCATTTAGATGTAGCAATTGTTAATGTTTTTCTATAATTGTGTCACTCTTCCCCCAAAGGTATTTTAAGGCAAATTACAGACATCATGACATTTCACCCCTAAATACTTCAGCTTGCATCATTAAAAAAAATAACTGCCCTAACTACATGATCTTACAAAATTAATAGCACAGTCTGTCCCACAGGTCACCGTCCACTTTGACAATATGTTGACCACCAATGCCAAGCTCCGGAAGGAGATTGAAGACCTCCGGTTTGAGAAAGCCGCTTATGACCACGTCTACCAGGAGCTGCACAGGCGCCTGTCCATGCAGAAGAAAACCATGAATGTGGCCATTGAGCAGTCTGCTCAGGCTTACGAGCAGAGGTGGGGTAGGGGAGAGACCCACCCCCACCCCCACCTCAAAGATACTTCTGGGCCCCTTGCTGAGTATCTAGCTTCTTAGAGAGGCACCTCTGCCCTTGTGCTTATGTGTTGAAGCCATGCCAGTACCACCGTAATATTCCTGAGCTCCAACTATGTGCCAGCCATGGTGCTCTACGTATTATTTTAAAACATTTTATTGTGGTAAATACTAAAACACTCTCCCTTCTTGAAAAAAAAAATCTTGGAAGAAGATACCCAAGTATTTCTTCTGAGGTACCTCTGGGTGAGTGCAAACAATACACTTTTGGTTAGTTGTGCTAAACTTATTCTCCCGTGCTACCCAGGGACCATGAGTCTCCGTGAAAGTGAAAAAGTAAAACGTTTTTTTAGTGTCCAAAAGGGGAAACCAGAGTCAAGAAGCTCTTGACAACGTGCTCCTTGCTCATTTACGAAGGCCCATAAAGACAAGCAGAAGGTACAGCGAAAATGCCCGTGACTGGTTGATATTAACAGAGACTAGAGGTGGGATAGAACAAGGTTATGGAAAAGTACAGGGCTTTGTAAGGGCCCAGGCATGAGTTACACAAACACTGGAACAAAGAGGGCATTTCCTGAGAATCAGTTGACCATAAAATCACATGTTTTATAACTGCACTAGTTGAATATCTTCTTTTTTCTTTTTTTGGCATTGACCATTCTTAACTACGAACTCAATTTCTTAGAACTTGTGGATCAGCAGAATAGGATGAGGAAAACAGAATTTTCTGTAAATTTGCTTGTTACAGGTCATAAGTACATTGTAAATTTTACAGACGTGATAGGCTCCATTCTGTGACGAAAGGGGGAACCGATTGCAAGGATCTCTATATAACCCCCTCCCTGGGAGATGGACCACAGAAAATTGGGTGAAGGGAGATGTCGGACAGTGTAAGATATGACAAAATAATAATTTATAAATTATCAAGGGTTCATGAGGTAGGGGGGACGGGGAAGGAGGGGGGAAATGAGGAGCTGATACCAAGGGCTCAAGCAGAAAGCAAATGTTTTGAGAATGATGAAGGCAACAAATGTACAAATGTGCTTGACACAATGGATGGATGGATGGATTGTGATAAGAATTGTATGAGCCCCCACTAAAATGATTAAATAAATAAAAATAAAAATCCAAAATGAAGCCTCTAAAGACAAAAGAGGGAATTAGCCTAAGACCTTAGATGTCTCAGTCATGGTGAGAGTCATTGTTTTAAAATGTTCTCCACCCCCCGCCCTGCCTTTGATTAAGAATTTGATGATCACACTTCAGAATATTATAGATTTGGTTTATCTTGGCTCCGCTTTGCCAGGCTAAGAGTTCCGTTTTCAGAGTCGGGGGTTTTTCAGGTTCATTTTTCTATAAAGGAGTGTATCTTCTCTGCAAGGATTTGGTTGTGTAAGGTGTCTTTTACTGCTTTGCTTCAGTGCAAGGCTGGGTGGGCAGGAACTCCTTGACCAAGAGAGGCTCCTAACTAGAGGACAAAGTCAAACTGCTCTGGGTAGGTGACCTTTCTAACTACAGCATCAGTTGCTTAATAGGAGACACGGTTTGGGTGCAGAGTCTAGAAGTACAAGTAATTGTGCATTTTATAATTTCAAATATAGTGACAAACGAAGAATTAACACTGATTCAACACAGGCTATAGAGAATAGCCAAGTGCTAATATTCTTTAGGAAATAGTTACTGAAAATATTTAAGGAATTCAGGGAAGAGGAATTTGTTTCAGGATATTGATGTGCAATCAGGTGGCCTTCTGGTGTATATATAAATAAATATATATGTATGTATATATATACATAGATATATAATATAAATGTCCTGTTCTAGCTCTAACAGTGAGGTAAATGTATTTGCTGGCTGTTGTTTGATTTTTAAAAAATGAAATCATTTTATTGGGGGCTCTTACAGATATTATAGCAAACCATAAATCAACTATATCAAGCAAACTTGTACATATGTTGCTATCATCATTCTCAAGATTTTTCTACTTGAGCCCTTGGGATCAGCTCCTCTTTTTTCCCTCCCTCCCCACCCTCCCGCCCTCATGAACCCTTGATAAGTTACATATTGTTATTATTTCATATCTTACACCATCCACTGTGTCTATTCACCCACATTTCTGTTGTTCATGCCCCTTGGGGGTGGCAGTGGGCTGTACATCCATCATTGCTATTGATTCTCCCTTTCTCCCTCCCCATCCCACCCTCCCTATAACCTTACGGTGTTGCTATTCCCATTACTGTTTCTGAGGGGTTTATCTGTCCTGGCTTCTGCGTGTTGCAAGCTCTTATCTGTACCAATGTACATACTCTGGTCTAGCCAGATTTGTGAGGTAAGGACTGGGGTGTTTGAGTGATTTTGACATAGGCATTTTATACACATACTGCACCACCAGGACTTCTGACTGTTTACTCTCACTGCCACCGAGTGGATTCAGATCCACAGCAATTCTATAGGACAGAGTGGAACTGCCCCTTTGAGTTTCCAAAGCTGTAAATCTTTACAGGAGCAGGGAGCCTCATCTTTCTCCCTCAGAGTGGTTAGTGGATTTGAGCTGCTGACCTTGCAGTTAGCAGCCAAACACACAACATGCACAGGGCTCCTTTGGGTGGTAGTGAGGATTAAATAATGCTAGCATATGTGAGGGAGTGCCTGGCACCTGGTAATTGACAAGTGGTGGTGGTGATGATGATGATGATGGGAGAACAATTTCCTGGGTATGGTCTAGTGCTTGTTAGCTGATGGTGTTTAGGTAAGCAGAATTCTTCTACACCGTGAATGTTCATGATCTTAAAAAGTGATGGTAGTGGTAGTAGTGCCCACCAACAGAAGAATGGATAAGCTAAATGTGGTCTAGTCATATAATGGAATATTACTCAACCATACATAGAATAGAGGTTCTAATACATGCTAAGGCACGGGTGAACCTTGAAAAAATGCTGAGTGAAGTTATTATTGCTGTTAGTTGCCACAAGTGAATCCAGACTCCCGGTGGCCCCATAGAAACAGAGTAGAACTGTGCTCCTTAGAGTCTCCTTAGGGCAGCAGAACTCAGGCTTGTCTTTCGAGATGCTCTGGGTAGGTTCAAAAAACCAACCTCCCAGTCAAGTGCTTCGCTGTTTGCACAACCCAGGGGATCTCAAGTGAAATTAATTAGACACAAGTGGATAAATAATTGTGTGATCTGGCTTCCAGGAACCATCCAGAAGAGGCAAACTCATTGAGATTCAGGGTCACCTTGGGGAAGGAGGAATGAGAAACGAGGATTAAAAAGAAGGAAGTGGCAGTCTTTGGGTAGGCAGGGAGGCAGGAGGCGAGAGGAGACCTGTGGATGCTCAGACACTGTGTCCCTCCTGCCCAGGCTGGAAGCCATGGCTCGGATGGCCGCCATGAAGGACCGCCAGCAGAAGGACATCTCTCAGTACAACTTGGAGATCCGGGAGTTGGAGCGCGTCTACGCCCACGAGAACAAGCTCAAGTCCTTCCTGCTCGTGAAGCTGAATGACCGCATGGAGTTCGAGGAGCAGGCCAGAAAGGAAGAAGGTACCCTCTCTGGGCCCTGGTGGCATAGTGTTTATGAGTTGGGCGTTCCACAATTATCAGCTGCTCCTCGGGAGAAAGACGAAGCTTTCGACTCCAATAAAGAGCAACAGCCTCAGAAACCCAAAGGGGCAGTTCTAGCCTGTCCGACAGGGCCTCTGTGAGTGGAAATCAACTTAATGACAGGGAGCTTGGCTTTGAGTCTGGGTGCCACCGAGTCTATTTTGACTCATCACAATCCCACATGAGATAACAGAACCGAGTTTTCTTTTTCTTTTCTTTTTAATCATTTTATTGGGAGCTCAGACAACTCTAGTCACAATTCATCCATTGTGTCAAGCACATTTGTACATTTGTTGTCCTCATCATTCTCAAAACATTTGCTTTCTACTTGAGCCCTTGGTATCAGCTCCTCATTTCCCCCCCTCCTTCGCCGCTCCCTCCTCCCTTATGAACACTTGATAATTTATAAATTATTATTATTATGTCATCTCTCACATTGTCTGACATCTCCCTTCACCCACTTTTCTGCTGTCCGTCTCCCAGAGAGGAGGTTACATGGAGATCCCTGTAATCGGTTCCCCATTTCTACCCCACCTTCCCTCCACCCTCCCGATATTGCCACTCTCACCACTGGTCCTGAAGGGATCGTCCGTCCTGGATTCCCTGTGTTTCCAGTTCCTATCTGTACCAGTGTACATCCTCTGGTCTAGCCAGATTTGTAAGGTAGAAATGGGATCATGATAGTCGGGGGGAGGAAGCATTTAGGAACTGGAATAAAGTTGTTTCATTGTTGCTACACTGCACCCTGACTGGCTCATCTCCTCCCTGCAACCCTTCTGTAAGGGGATGTCCAGTTGCCTACAGATGGGCTTTGGGTCCCCACTCCCCACTACCCCTCATTCACAATAATATGATTTTAACACATAGGATTTTCTTGGCTGAGATCTTTATGGGAAGGGGCCCTAGTTAGCGGTGCACTGAATCATTCACTGAAAGCTTCGTGGTTCAAATCCACCAGCTGCTCTGTGGAGAAACCTGTGGCAGTGAAAAAGCACAAAGAGTTGTGCACACCTTGTCTTGGAAGCCCTCTGGGGGCCGTTCTGTGAGGTCACTCTAAGTCATACTGGACGCCCCGGCCATGGGTTTCGGTTGGAATCTTTGTGAGAGCAGATCATCAGGTCTTTCATCCTGGGGACTGCCGGTTGGGTTCGAACCACCCACCTTTCAGTGAGTAGCCAAGGGCAAAGCCGTTGCACCCCCAGGGTTGCTACTAGGAATATAAGCAATGGGTGATGAAATGTTTGTGCCATGCAGAGATGAGCGAAGTTTCCATCTCATGGAAGATTCCAGCTCCCTGCCCAAGGCATGAACTGAGCAGGTGCTGTCTGCCTGGTGCCGCTCTGCGTGGCTCTATGTCCTTGCTCACTGTGGCTGGGTGTTCCCTTTCTAGCCCTCAAGGCCAAGAAGCATGGGAAGAAGCACAAAGGGGAGAGTTTCGAGAGCTACGAGGTGGCCCACCTCCGGCTGCTGAAGCTGTCCGAGAATGGGAACCTGGACCAGCTCATTGCGGAGTTCCTGGCCAAGGAGGAGAAGAACTTTGCCCGGTTCACCTATGTCACAGAGCTCAACAATGACATGGAGAGGATGCACAAGAAGACCGAGAGGATCCAGGTCTGTGTTCCCCTGGGCTCCTTGGGCCGGGGATGCCCACCCCTGGGCCCCTAAACCATCTTTCCACAACATTTCCGCCCCAAGCAGGCTCCTTGGGACACTCCATCAGGTGCACCACAGAAAAAGGGTGTCAAGGTCGAGGCTGTTTGAGAAACTCAGCTGTATTCCCCCAGTGTCTCCTGACATTTTAGCTTTTCTGAAATTGATGCATACAATGAAGGTGGCCATGCCTCCACCGCACCCCAAAGTGACATTTAAGCCATGGCAAGTGTTTTATTTATACAGTGAGCTCTGGTGGTGGAGTGGATTACGTGTTGGGCTGCTAACTGGAAGGTCAGCAGTTCAAGCCACCAGCTGCTCTGGGGGAGAAAGATGAGGCTTTCTATTTCAGTCAAGACTCACATACTCAGAACCCCATGGGGACTGCGCTCCTATGCCCTATAGGGTTACCATGAGTTGGAATGTTCTCAATGGTCGTGAGTTTGGTTTTGGAGTTTTGGCTATAACAAAAACCACCAGAGGGGCGGGGGTGGCTTTCACAAATGCAAATGGCTTTTCTCACAGTTCAGAAGGCCAGGAGTCCGAATTCAGGGCACCAGCTCTGGAGGAAAGGTTTTTCTCTCGTGGGCTCTGGGGGAAGGCCCTTGGCTCTTCAGCATCTATCTGGATACTCCTTAGTTCTCCTCACGTGTTAGGGCCTTAGTCTCCTCCCCAGCTCCGCCTCCCCAATATGTGTTTAATCTCTCTACAGCCACTGTGTAACCCTCAGCGCCACCAGCGTGAGTGTGCAGGCAGGGGAGGTTTCTCAGCACCACTGACCTTGGCCTTTCTTGACCGTCACCAGGATGGGGCCCTACTGTCTGTCAGAACTGGGGGGTCTGAGAAAAGATAACCACCTTCCTGCCTTTTCTGACCTCCGTTTGCCATCTGTGGGATGGCACACAATCACTTTAGATGGAATTTCTAAGCTTTCACTAGAGAGCTACAGACAATGTTTGCTTAAACCTATGCCAGGAGGAAAATGCACAAGACTGGCGAGTTGATGGGGACTCACACGGACCCCGTGGCATAGGGTAGAATTGCCCCTGTAGGCTTCTGAGAGTGGCACTTCACAGGAGCAGAAAGCCATGAGGAAAACTACTATATAACACAAGCGGTATTGCTTCCCAGCTTTTTCGCTAAGATCAAGTGTAGTGAAATGAGCCGCGTGGTCCTGGATGAAGATGGGGCGGGGCTGTGGTGGGGATGTTGGACCCTTATTTGCTGTCACTGCTCACTGCAGTTAATGAGTAAACAAATTAAAAAAGAAAAACAGGACGAGGATTCTAACATCGTATTTCACCTGCAGCTAAGGGGGGGAGGGAGGAATGGAAAGAAATTCTGAAGCAGTTGCCAATATTCAAACAACAGGAGATTGCACTTGAAAGTCTTAATATCTAATTTTCTACGAAAATGAGGTCTGTCTGCTCTTTGTGAGAAGCTGGCTGCAGCTGCCTCTGTAAAGAGGTCCCAAATCCCACCACCACCCTGTTCACCTGCAGCCCGGTACATTCCTTTCCTGTTTCCCTATGGGGGCCCATTTGAGCCTACAAGGCCCTTTGAGCTGGCTGCCTTCCGTTCAGTGTGCCACCACTGTCCTCTGGTAGCCAACTTCGGTACTGCAGGGAAGGTCTTTGCAGGCCGGGCAGTTGGAAAGCAGGACCAGGTGGGGCTGGGAGTGGGCAGGGCCCTGGACTCATTTTTCAGGAGGGAGCGCTTTCCTAGTCCTGATGGGAGGATGAGGATAAGCCATACCAGAGGGTTGTGCAGACGCCCCGAGTGTGGAAGAATCTCATCACCTTGACATAACATGCACCCCCTAAAAAAAAGGATCCCTTTTCCTTTAGTAGATTTTGACCCATGTGGAACCTGTAGGACAGTGGAATTCCCCAGGAGGGTTTAAAGCTGCAATCTTTATGGAAGCAGATGGCCAGCTCTTTCTCCTTGGGGATCGCTAGGTGGGCTCGAACTGCCAACAGTTAGCAGTTATTGCGCCCCAAGGACTCCTTTCCCATGCCTGCAGACCCGGATTCTCTGAGGACGGACCAGGCATTGGCATTTTAACCATATTGTTACTCGAGATCCCTTCCCCCAATTATAGGGCAATTTTATGACTACAATGGATATAACTGATTTCCACTAGTAACGATGTAGGTTCTTTTAATTAGGGGGGAGTTGTCAGCAATTCATCAGACAGCCATCTTTGTGGACCTGCCCTCTTTCCTTACACAGGACACATTCTCAGAGGTGATGTTGTCAAGGAGTGTGTGTGCCTTTATTTTCGGACATGTTGCCCTAGCTGGCAGTGCTCAAAGTTGGTTGGCAAGCAGCAACAGCAGCAGGGGTCCCAGGGAACTTGGGAATTGCCAAACTGGGCTGGCCTAGAGCTGCCAAGCCACAGGCCCCCCCTGGGGGTTCTGATAAGAACCCTCTGCTGCAGAGCCCGTGTCTAATCTGCACCCACTCACTGCCACGGAGTCAGTGCTGACTCAGAGAGACCCTATAGGGCAGGGTCTGTGAGTTTCAAAGACTGTAACTGTATATGGGAGTAGAGAGCGCCGTCTTCCTCGATGGGGTGGCTGGTGGTATTGAACTGCCGACTTTGCAGAGTGCAACTGAACACTTAACGACTCTGCCACCAGGACTCCCTACAGCACCTATTAACCACCTCTAAATGAAGTACAACTATGTTTTTCTACCCTCTCAGTTGCTGTGTTGTGCTGTTGCTGACTTGTGGCCACCCCTCCTTGACAAGAGTAGAACTGTGCTCCACAGCGACCCCAGTGACGTTTGTGGGAAGTAGTTCTCCAGGCCTTTCTTCCTAATTGCCTCTAGGTAGACATGAACTGTTTACCTTTTGGTTAGCAGCTGAGTGAGTTTGCTGTAGGCACCCCCCAGACAGACCCATGCCAACTGCCAACCATTGATTCAGACTGTTAGTCACAGTGACCCTGTAGATCGGAGTCAAACTGGTCCATAGGGGTTCCCAGACCATAAAACTTTATGGGGTCTGACCCAGCAGCTCCTCATTAAAATTAAATTAAAAATTCAAACGAGCCCCTCCAGGGAACTAGCCACGTTTCAAGCTCTACATACACACAGGTGGCGATGATATTGGAGAGGGCAGTGAGAACATTTACACTACTGCCAAAAATTCGATTGATTGTGCTCTTCTGGAAAATTAAAAGAGGAACCATATAACCTCACCCTCCTGTTAATGAAGAAACATTCAAAAGGACCTCCATAGGCATGATTGGGGGCCCAGAGGTTCTGGAGCTCTGGAAAACTACTGGTTGACCCCCCCCATTGTCTCCTGGAGGCACAGGCTTATTTTGAGAGTGTGCTGGGGGCAGGGAGCACTCATTTTTCTTCATTGTCCCTACTCACCCTAACAGAACGAGATCATCGACTTGAAATCCCGGCAGAAATCATTCCATGAGGACCATTGTTCCACCCTGAGACAACTAGAGGTAAGAGCAGGGCAGGGTGAGAGGGATGTGGGTGGCACCGGTCTGCCTGCCTGTCTGTCAGGAGCAGGAAGATATTTATTCCCTTAGCAGCCACGGACCTAGCTGTGTCTGTACATGTCCCGAACCTCTTGTCCCAGGCAGCCTCTGGACCAGGTCTTGCTGCAGAATTTTGTCCTTAGGACTGCTCAGTCCTTTGGAAAGCCCTTCCTGCTTCTCTGCCAGGTCCATGGACTGGCTTCTACAAGAGCTGTCTCCCTAGCTGTCTTTCTCTGTCCCCGGGGCCTGGCTGTGCCCTGTTGTCCGTCAGGAATAGTTATGATGAGCATTGCTTGAGCGGTTACCACCTGCCAGGCACTGGATTGAGTGCTTCATTTACACCATTTTATTTTATCCTTACAAAAATCCTGTGGGGCAGGAGCTGTTGATCTCTCCACTTGACAGAGGAGGAAACTGAGGTTCAGGAAATAAAGTCCATATCATGGAGCTGGGAGAGCGTATGAGCATTGGGATGCATGCAGCTGCTACAAAAATCCATCGCCAATGAGTTGATTCTGATTTAGAGCGACCCTTTGGGACAGAGTCAAGCCACCCCAGAGGGTTTCCAAGGCTGTAGTCTTTGCAGGTACAGACTGCGACATCTTTGACATCTTTGTCCTACTGAGCGGCTGATGGGTTCGAATCATTGATTATTGGGTTATCAGCCAAATGCCTTAACTACTGAATCACCATGGCTTCTTGGGACCAAAGTAACAGTGACTTGAGCAAGTTAGAAGTTTGTGCTTGTTTTGTTCATTGACTTTGTTAAGAAATAAGTCTGGAGAGGGACACCCCAGAGCCAGTGACAGCGAGAGTTTCAGTATGAAGTCGAAGGAGAGAATGAGTGGGGCATAGCACTGTCTGCCAAAGACGTGGACCTACAGAGTCAGACTCCGAAGTCCTGCCCACAGTTAATAGTTCCTAGCCCTGCCTCCGTGTTCGTGTTCCGGGCTGTGTTCTCTCTGGGGCTGTCTTCCTTGACAAGCACCCTGTGCCTCGTGATTGGTTTGCAGTGCCATTCTCTAGAGAACCACTAGGTGGCAGCAAAGTTTGTTCTCAGCCAGGTGCCTGCCAGGGGGCCCTGGGCACAGGCTTCAATGAGACCTTTCAGACCCTTTCTTGGGATTGGGCCTCCTGGTGCTGTGAATCGTAGGGTTTTGAAGGTCTAAAGAGGAGCAGTTTGGGGAGGCTGACTGGGCAAATCCACCTCTGCCTGTGCCCTCCCCTTGCCCCCCCCGCCCCTCCCCCCATCAGTATCGTTCCTTGGCTTCAGCAGGACTTGGGGGGTGGGGGTGGGGCTCCTGCTTTCAAATGCACTCATGCAAGCTGGCTTTGTCTGAATAGCAATATCACGCCCCACCCCTACCCCCACCCACAGGAGTGGGTGGCCCTAGTTCATTAGCCCTAGTTTCCTAACAAGGCGATGGTGAGGCCAGGTGTTTTACTCACTTGCCTGATCAAGAGGTACCCAAACAGCTCTGACCTCACTATTCCTCATCTAAAGACTGGAGCGATGGTGGGGTTGAGCTGAGATGATATCGTAGTATATACAGTGTCTGGAACATTGACGGTGCTGGACACCTAACCCCCAAACAAAATACAGCCCAAATCAACCCCTCATAGCAACCCTATAGTGGAGAATTGCCCCTGTGGGTTTCTGAGCAGACGGTCTGGACAGGAGAGTATATGGAGGGTTTGAACTACTGACCTTGTTAACAGCCCAACGCTGCCTTAGACAATTGCTCCACCAGGCTCCTTTGTACACAGAACCAATCCCCCAAAAGTCAAACTTGCTGCCGTTTCGAGTTGATGCCGACTCATTATGACCCTATAGGACAGGGTGGAACTGCCCTTGTGAGTTTCCGAGACGGTGACTCTTTACAGGACTAGAAAGCCCTGTCTTTTTTTTTCTTTTTTTTTTTCGGACATATGGGCTAATATTGGATTTATGGGCTTGGACAGCACTGGGTTGGGATGGTTTCTTTTTATTTATTTTTTCGCCTGTTAAGTTTTTTTTTTTAATCAATTTATTGGGGCTCATACAATTCATCACAATACATAGATCAATTGTGTAAAGCACATCTATACATTTGTTGCCCTCAGAAAGCCCTGTCTTTCAACCTCGCGCTGGCTGGTGGTTTTAAACTGCTGACCTTACAGTTAGCATCCCAATGAGTAACCGCTATGCCACCAGGGCTCTTGTGTACATACACATACCAGAAGTTTTTATTTCTGTCACATCAGGCTGACGTGACCTTTTAAAGAACTGTGTGATTTTTTTTCTTGTGAGGAATTTAAATTTTATTTATGTTCTGAGAACTGCCTATCCCAGTAGCCAGCAGGAGGAAGCCACTGGACACAAACTTAGTTCACAAACTAAGTTCAAGTCCTGGCTTTCCTCTTTTGGTGGCGTGGCGTAGAGCCCCAGTTTCTCCAGCAAGACATTTCTTTTTCTTTCCTTTCATTCATTAACAATCCTGACTGAGGCCATTTCCTGTGGTCTCCCATCCCCTCAGACTGAGGCCCTGGTCCCAGAGGGTCCCCAAATCCCCTTTCCACTGCCAGCACCCCTGGTGGGCTGAGCCCAGGGCTTGGGCCCAGCTGACCCTGTGGGGACGGGAACTGGGCTCTGCCGGCAGGAGAAACTGAAGAAGACCACGGAGGAAGCGGATTTGTACGAGAACAACTACAAGGAGATCAGCAGGACCTTGGAGAACCTCAGGAACTCGGTGGAGGCTCTGTTCACGAAGATCCACTGTGACGCCACCAAGGTCCTGGTGCAGCTGGGGGAGACGGGCAAGATCACCAACTCCAACCTTCCGCAGTATTTCTGTGAGTTGAGCAGGGTGCTGGGGGGTCCTTGGCTGGCATTTCCAGGGCATTCTGTGACAAGGCACGGCGGCGGCGGCTCATTCTTCTGGAGGCAGGAGGTCTGACGTGATGCTTGGGGGCTCTGAAGCCAGGTAGGATGGGTGCAAATGCCAATTGGAGTGTAAGCCAGCATTATTCAACCGTGCTTCATCCTCCTTCCTTCCCCAGGGATTTTTTTCAGATACTGTTTTTCTCATGACCCCTCCCTCCCAGAATCTCAATACCAGAGAGATGTTGTGCTGATTGCTTAGGTACTGTTTGGATATCTGTACTTTGTTCAGCCCTCTCCTCATAAGCAATACATCTCACCCCCTAGGGCTGGTGGTGGAGACCCTGGATGTTGCAGAGGGTTAAGTGCTTAACTGAGTGAAAGGTTGGAGGTTCAAATCCACCCCAGGGTGGAATACAGTTCTAGTCTGATACGCATGGAGTGTCCTGCAGTTGGAATCACCTCCACAGTAACTAATAGGGGTATATGATATTGCCCTTTCCCCCACAATTAAGAATGCCTAGAGTAACTATCATTTTAGATGCTAACCCTCTGTTGGTGAGTGGACCTCGATTCACAGTGACCCCGAAGGATAGAGTAGAACTGCCCCATAGTGTTTCCAAGGCCACGGTCACATCTTTCGACCTTGGAGTAGCTGGTGGAGTTGAACCACTGACCTTTGGATGAGCTCTCAACCACTGTGCCATGGGGCTGCTTTTTACAAGTGTTAAGTGAAACACCATCGTTTCCTGCGCCTCTCCAGCAGGGGCACCCTTCCCCACGATCCCCCAGGGTGGGGTGGGGTGGGGCACCTGCCCTGGGCCACCACCTTGGTCTTACTGTGTCTCTCCAGCCATCATTGAAAAGAAGACCAACGACCTGCTGCTGTTAGAGGCTTGCAAACGGGTCTTCGATATGGAAGGGGCAGAGACCGAGGTCCCACCAGCCTTCGCCAACCCTTTCTGGGGTGGCTCAGCCCTCCTCAAGACATCAGAGGGCAGCAAGGTCTTGCCGCCTATGTTGACATTGGAGATTGTCAGCGAAAAGCTAGATGAAGGTTTGTTCCCATCCTCCCTTACCTGTGCAGCTGCTGGGTGGCGTTGCCTTCAGTCCTGGGGACGCCATTCCCAGGTGCCTAAGGTGGGGCTGCACGTGGGCCACCATTTCCCCCATCAGCCCCGTTGGGTACCACCTTGGCCGTGGCCGTGTGATGGGGTCCGAGTGGGGACTTTTCTCCTTGGGACGCCACTAGTGACCCAGCCACATGTCCTGCCCAAAGCTTAGATATCCTGGCTTTATTATTATTATTTTTAATCCCAATGACTTGGTGACCATTTGAAATGAGCTTTCAAATATCTAAATGTTATCAGTTGTTGAAGAACCAGCCACGCTAGGTTCTCGGATCCCATCTGTCGCCCTGTGCCCTTGACTCTTCTGCCATCCTTAATCCTTTTGGCTGCTTCGACCGCAGCCAGACTCGGGGCCCTCGGTAGGGAAGGGGCCCTCATATTCACCGCAAGTATAGGCCTTGGGGAGGACGCACTGATCTCCCTGTGTCTGCAGTGGATCATCCACTGGACCACAGGAGCCTTCGGCAGCTGGTGCTGGACAACTTAAAATTGAAGGAAGCTCGGACCTCGCGCCTGGAGAGTGACCCAAGAAGGAAAAACTAGCAGCTGGGGCGGTCGGTGTGGCACCACCACCAGTGAGAGTAAACTATTGTTCTGTCACTGCGATGCCTTTGCCAGCTCTGTGCTAGGAGACGTGGTGCTGGGAGCCCCCTTGGGGAGGGTGGAGAGCCAAGCGTCAGAGCAGGGGTCTAGCTGGGAGAAGGGCTGTTGTTAGGTTTGAGCTTTGAAGACTTGCTCTGACTCCTCCTGCCACCTGCAACCCTCTTCCTCTCTGTGGTCTCAGCAGCCACTCGCAGATCCCACGTGGGCTCTTGATCTTAACCATTTTGGCTGCGGCCTGGGTTCCTAGGATTCTTGGAACTCTTGAAAATGTAGAGTACTAGATATCCACTCCCTCTTCTTCCAGAATTTTCTGGAACCATCTCACTCTGAGGCCATGTGTACAGGGCAGTGGGGGTGGGTGGGAGGGAGCAGTTTCAACCCCAACCTGAGGGTTAATCATGTGACTTAAGGTTTGTCCATCAGAGCACCACACCTACCAGCCCGCAGTGATTGGTTCAAGGTTGTTCCAGGGGCCCTGGAGACGTCACACAAGGCCCTGTGCTGGGGTTTCTTTGGCTCTGGAGAGAGAGCCGAGTACTCTTTCCACTACGGGTACTGAGGGGATAGTCAGGGACTGGCAGCAGAGCAACATGAATGAAGACAGAGAGGTGAAGAGGCCTCCCTAGGTCTGATGGTGTTATCTGAGCTCCTGGATCCAGCTGTGTTTGAAGCCCTGGGACTCCTTAATTGTGTCAGTCAGTTAAGTTTGGAATCTTGCAACCAAGAGAGGCTGGTATGTTTCAACAATGATGGGCAGTCCAAAGCTAGAGTCCACTCAGGCCCAGGTCCATTTCCTGCTCCCCCATCCAGATCCAGAAAGCATTGCACAGCCCTACCCCAATGAGTCAGATAACTTCTTTAAAGGAAATCAGAAATCAATTTCCAAGGATTGCTGAGTGTGAATTTTGAAAAGTGAGTCCTCCGTTTAGCATGTGAGGGGCCTCGTTCCCTCTGTTTATTCTGGGGCCAGTCTGCTAATGCCCATGGGAGCAGCATACCTGGAGGGGAGGCTGTCCCGGAAGCCAGGTTTTCAACATGCTTGAGCTCTTTGGGAAGGTCTGTGACCATGCAGCTCACATTCTAGTCCAAGGTGGCCCTCCCTGAATAGCTGCCAGGGGTTGTTATATAGAAAGAGTCAGAGGGTTCAGTAAGAGTGACCCCAGGGCCCCGGCCAGCTCAGACACTGCCTTTGTGGGAATGATCACCGGCCTCCCTTCCTTATGGCGCTTCTCCCTGCCAGGGAAACAGCACAGTTCAGTGCACAGCCTCCGGTTTATTTGACCTTGGCCTCTGGGTGGATAGCTATCTGCGGGCATGGGTCAGCCACCAAGCGGCCCTGATGGAGGTGGGCCAGGTGGGGGAAAGGGAGGGTGATCCTGCTGGGCAGAGAGAGAGGCAAACAGACAAACAGAGACTCTGCTCCCTGGAAGTCGAGCCCGGGGAAGGAGGTCCCCTAGTCCTTCTCTTCTCCGTGGGTGATGATATGTACCAGGTTCTTGTAGTCTAAGTTGCCAGTCACGTCAGGGGGGAATGCCGCAAACATCTGGTCAACCTGCAACCCACCAGAAGACATGCTGGGGACAGCGAGAGGGGCGAGGCAGGCACACTGGGCTGGGGCAGGTGGTGGTCATCGATACGGATCGCCTAGACCACCTCCAAGAAAGGGCTTGTCCTCCCGTTGCAGAGAGGGCATCAATCAAGGTCAGTGTCTTCGTGGGGCAGCCCACCAGCCAGAGACGGGCGGTACAAGGGTTTACAGGCCTGGCCACCTCGGGGAATCTCTAGAGAGCAGGCTGTTCTAGCTCCCTGGCTCCCCAGGGCTGCCATCTCCCTCTGCTCCCTCCTGAGCTTTTGCCCTGCCTCCCTGAATTGTTGATCCCCAGGGCCCCCCAAATAAACACCCCGAGTGTGTGTCCCCAGGCAGAGCATTTGACCTGTGACCACAGGCAGAGCATGTAAACGCAGGTGTCCAGAGGGGCCGGGCGGGTCATGTCATTCATGATCTAGTCATAATGTTAGCTTGCCCCTGGGGAAGGGGCCCCTTCTTCCAGACACATTACTGCTGCCTGTAGAGGGCTTCAAAAGGTTCATGGAAAAATTCTGAGATTTTTTTACCCCCCTGAGATCTTTTCATTCCATTCTTCCTCGAACTTTGTAAAGGCACCCCCAGAGATAGTGGTTAAAAAAAAAAAGATAAAAGACCGAACAAGACACTTTACTGCCACCTCCTGGACAACCAGCGCAATAACTATCAACCCAAGAGGTGGGTACGAGAAAGGCATCCGTGAGAGGTGTGCAGTGCACAACCTACATCATAGTACATGGCTTTCTCAGCCGAAGTTCTAAATACGTCTCGGAGATTTCCATAGATTGCTGGCGAAGGCAGTACCTGATGGGCCTGGGTTTAAATCTAAGAAAAAAAAAATTCAGTCCTGTTGCCAGTCTAACTCTCAGTGGCCCTATAGCAAAGAGCAGAGCTGCCCCATGGGCTTTCCAAGGCTGTCATCTTTATGGGAGTGGGTGGCCTCACCTTTCTCCCACAGAGCAGCTGCAGGGTTCAAACCCCACCAACCTTCTGCTTAGCATCCAGGCCCTTAGCCAAGGGGCCACCAGGGTGCCTTGGAATCAAATCTCGGCTCATTATCATTGATCATTAGCACGATGATTTTAAGGCGAGTGATGTTATTTCCCTTGGACTCAGCCTCCCCACCTGGAAATGAAACTCCTGCCAGCCCTTACCTCAGGGAGTGGCTGAGAGCATGAAACCAGGGCTCGGTAAGCAGCACCCAGCTCTCCCAGTGTGAGGCCAGGGGAGCCCCCTGGAGGCGGGACTAGGGGATTTCTGGGGGTCCTCTCACCTCTTCCTTGGAGAACCTTTCTGCCTGGGTAGTCAGCATTTCCTGAATGCTACAGAGAAAGAGAGGGAGGGGTGTTGGTGCCAGTGGGGGTGGAGGAGCAGGGCGCCCACCCCTCCCCCACAGGCCCCACCACTCACTAATTAGCCTTCAGCACCCCTTTGCCTTCGGGGTCAAACACCTTGAACGCGTTGAGGATGGTCTCCTCTGGGTCTGCTCCTGAAAGGGAACCGGGACTCTGATGTTGCTAAGCCGAGTGGTTTCAGGCAAGTGCCTGTCTCTGAACCTCAGTTTCCTCACCCATGGATTGGGTATAGTAATCGAGTCTACCTGACAGTACTCTTCAGTGGGGTCCAAGTTCACTGCCACTGAGTCGATTCTTACTGATGGCAACAGTAATGGACACAGTAAAACTGCCCCTTTGAGTTTCTGAGAGTGTACATCTTTATGGGAGCAGACGGCCTCATCCTCCTCATCCTCACCAGCCTCATCCTTGGCCTGTGGGTTCCAAGAGCTGACTTTGTGGAAAGCAGCTCACATTACATGGGGTCAGACATGCAAAGTGGTTGGGTCTGGCTTAGGGAAACTTGCAGCAATGTTAGCTGATATTAATATTTTCCAGTAACACTTCTACTGCCCTGAAAGTGAGATTCTGCCAACCCCTGTAAGGTGTGTTCTTCTAGAGTTTCTGTTAATGCCACAGATGCAGACACACAGTCACAGGCAGGAGCAGGCAGGCTTGGCCTTACCTTTCAGTTTCTCCCCGAACATGGTTAGGAACACGGTAAAGTTAATTGGACCTGGAGCCTCTTTGATCATTTCATCAATTTCTTCATTTTTCACGTTCACACGCCCTGAAGCAAGAAACACAGCCAGTGGTCCTTAACTGGGAGAGAAAGGGCCAATAGAGTACTGGCAATTGCCTTCCTGGCAACTAGTGTAGGGAAACCAAACCAGGAGCCCTGGTGGGGTAGTGGCTACTCGTGCTGCTAATAGCAAGGTCAGTAGTTCAAAACCACCAGTGCTCCTCAGGAGAAAGAAAGGAGTTACAGCCGAAACTCACAGGGGCAGTTCTTCCTTGTCTTATAGGGTCTCTATGAGTCAACATCAACTCAATGGCAGTGAGTTTGGTTTGGGTTTGAGGGTAGGGAATAATCAGATGGGTAGGGTCAAGGGCATACAGGGCATACAGATGTTCTTAACAGTATTGTTTTAAAATCCCCAGAAACTGGTACTGACCAAATACCCGAAACATAGAGGGTTAGTTATTCAGGAGATGGCAGCTTTACAACCTGGAACACTTTATGGATACATTTTTAATCCAGCGGGAAATGCACATACTATAAACAAGCCTTTCTCAGGTGGAGGTGGGGGAGAGCGATCAGAAAGGGGAGAACCTTTTAATATGATTTCTGATCTCTTGGAGATTATAGGGGATTCTGCTCCACCTACAATCAACCCATCTAGCACCTTTGGGCAGATGAGAAAAAGCCACCCCTTACTTAGAAGACAGTTATGTTCAAAATATAAAAAATCCATAGTGACTACAAGGGTAACCAGTGTCCTGGAAAGTTGTGCAGTGTGTGACATACACCACTATTCATGGTGGCCCTGGGTTCCTAGAGATGAGGGGGAGCAGGTTGGATTTCTGTTATTTGCAAAAGCTCTGTGCACCCATTTTCCCACTCTCATACTGTTCAAATCACAATGTGAGAAATGATTCCTTGAAGCAAACAGACAGAACCCCAGATATGTCGCGAAATGACGAGCACACAGGGATGAAATGTTAAGGGTAGAACGGGGCTTTACAGATTTGCTTTCCCCTTTATATGTTTCTGAGTTGTTCAAATCATTTTTTTGTGAGCTGGTATTACCTTCAAAATTGCACAGATGCGATTTAACCGAAAAAGAAAAGGTATTTGTCTTCAAGGCCAATGTCTTGGGAAATGACCAGCTCTTGAATTTGTCTGGTGGCCCCACCTCTCCCCTTGCACAAGCAGGAGATGAGGAGATTCTTGGGGTGGGGGTTGGGGGGGTGACGTACCAAGAGCTGCGAAGGTGTCCCTCAGGTCGTTCTTGTCAATGAAGCCATCTCTGTTCTGGTCCATGATGGTGAAAGCCTGTGAAAGAAGATGGGAAGATAGGGGCAGTGGGGTGGGGTGGGGCGTTTGGGGAGGCAGGTACACCCAGGAGAACTATGGCAGGGGCTCCCACGGGCTGGACCCCAGGCTGGGGGAAGTGAGTGGGATCTTCAGGTGCCTTGCAGGACATTTAGCTAAAGAATCAAAGACTGAAAACAATCTGGCCCCTGGTCAAAAACCTTAAGCTTTACACAGGACCACACGAAGATGCTGTTGCTGGTTGCCCTAGAGTCAGCCCTGACTCAGCAACCTCAGGTGTTCAGAGCAGAACTGCTAGGGAGTAGTGTTCCAGGCTTACCCGAAGGAAAGGAGCCAGGCCTGATGGGCCAGGTATAGTAAGTGCCAGCTTCTAGGAAATGTCCAGGATGAGCAAACCCACAGAGAGTCGATTAGTGGTTTTGCCTAAGGACTGGAAGACTGAGCTGTGGTGGCGTACATGTACACTAAAGGATAAAGACGTCGTCCATGGGCCCTCGCTGCAATACTCACCTCCTTAAATTCCTGGATCTGGGTCTGCTCGAACATGGAGAAGACATTGGAGTTGGCGCCCTCTGCTCTCTTCTTGGCTTTCTTGGGTGCCTGGGAAAGAGTCCGAGGATGGAATGAGTCCGAGGGCAGAATGAGACAACTGGGTCAAGTGAGTTCGCCCGGAGGAACGACCCACACACTCAGGACACTCAGGGATTAGAGGACACAAAGTCAAGTTTCTCCAGAGCAGCCTGGTGTCTCTCCAGAGACGGAGGCCACAGGGTGCGGGAAATAGCCTGGGCAGGAGCCTGACTCTGCTTTTATCCGGGTGTGTTTTCACAGAAAGTGGTAACACCCCGCAGAGAATTGATTAGGGGGGAAGAAAGAGCCATGCTCACTGGGCTGTGGAGGAAATGACCATTTTTGGGGTGCTAAAACCCAACTGCTCCAACATTTCCTTGACCCAAAGGGTCGTGAAGTCTCCTCTGTCCCCATCTCGTGTCTCTTCCGCCTTTAAATAATAGCAGCTAGCACTTAGATGCATCCAGAGCAGTGTCCTAAGCATGTCATACAGTGTCCTAAGCATGTCACGCCTGCTCTGTCAAATAGTCTTATTTTAAGAAGCATTGGTGAAGGAAGGCTCAGAGGGGCTAAGTCACTTGCCCAAAGTCACACAGCCTTGCAAAGATGGAGCTGTAGTTGAGTCTACAGTATTGGCAAAGAATATTGAATATGCCACGGATGGCCAGAAGAACCCACAGATCTATCTTGGAGGAAGTACGACCAGAAGGCTGCTTAGAAATGGGAGTGGTGAGACTCCACTTCATGGACTCTGGATGTGTTATCAGGAGGGGCTGGTCCCGGGCTTGATGGTAGAGGGAGGGAGGCAGTGAGATAGAAGACTGACATGGTGGCTGCAGCCATGGGCTCTCACACAACAGGTGTGAGGATGGCCCAGGACTGGGTGGCGGTTTGCTCTGTTGTATGTGGGGTGGGGTCACTGTGAGTCTGAACCCACTAGATGACAAGTCTGACGGCGGACTTCCTTCCCTTAACTGCTGCCCTACACTGGCCTGCCTCGTTTGGGATACCCAACTGAAACAACACAGGAGAAAGATTTTCTATTTGCGAGTTCAAAAGGTGAACACACAAAAACATCCCGTCCCGCCCCCCCCCCTGCTGCCTGAGCAAGAGCAGAGAATTAGAGCGTGATCCTTAAAAGTGCTCGATCCCGTTGGCGAGCCCTGGAAGTTAATGATTCTGCAAGAGGTCAGTAGGCTAGCCAGAAAAAACCCAGCTCTTTGGTTCGGCTTCTGCGAGTCCTGCCTGACCTTATGGGAGGCTTATAGTGGCATTGATTGGGTTTCATTTGGGGGCATGCAGCAAACCCTGTTTGTCCCACAAGGGTCTGGGGTCCCCGGCCGGCGCTCTTCTCCTTTGCATGTAGGTAGTGTTTCCTCTGCCCCCACCCCCCGCCAGCGTCACTACTCACCATGACGAAGAGGACAGAGTGACCCCAACACTACCTCGGCTCCCCGGCAGAACTCCACCGCCTTAGCCCAGGAACAATAAATACTTCCTCCCGGGGTTTAAAAATAACCCCATGACCACTTTTGGCAGTAATAGGTGAGGCAGACGCCACCTAAGGTCCTCCCGCCCCCCC